TTCCAAAATCAATGTTTCTTTTTGAGAAATAAATTTTTAAAAAAATTCATGATTTATATAATAGGTTAAGTTTCACATATTTATTCTTATAAATAATAAGTAAATATTTCCAGATATCATTTTTCCATTATACATCTTACTGTAAGATATACCAAGTAAGTCACCTATTTCTGCAGTGATGTAATTATCCATTTGTTGTTTCTTTGATATTCGGTATTTAATGGTTTTAAAAAATATTGAGGATAGATCAATTAAAATTTCTATGTGCCGGTACAATATTGTATGGCTTAAGAATTGACGGTATTTTCTCAGGTAATAAGCCTTCTAATATTTCGTATCGTCATTATGTACCTAAACGCCAATTGTAAAGGGATATTGGCGATAAAGGTATTATTCACATTTTTCTAAATAATGTGAGATAATCTCTTTTTAATCGTTTTTTCAATTAATTGTATTTATGAGGTAATTGTTAGTGAGCAACATATTCTTAATTCTTTTACACGGAAAGAAAACTTGTAATAATATTTAATATTTTGAAATCAATTTTTACTATAGTTGGTAGCATGTCATGGAAACTAACGGATTTCATTAATTATTATCACTTTTAAGAAAGCCCGAAATAGAAACAATATTATATAATATAGTTAGAAAATAAAAATTATAGTAAAGTCATTTGAAAAATTAAAATTTTACTATAGGAAACTCAAATGACAATTATTATTATGAATTTTAGAAATATCATTCTAAAATGATTACGTTAATTGCTTCAATATTTTTATATTTTGGTATAGCCGATACGAACATTTCAGAAAGAAGGTTGGGGAAGAGGGGTCGAAGGCAATCGAAGGCAATTGAGCGAGTCTGAACGAATTTGACCGATTGCTAACGAAAAGTCACGATGATTACTCCTGTATTTGGCTATTTTTTCCATTCATTCTATTTCATTGTATTTCTTTAATAAATATTAAGATTAAACTGAATTGAATGTGGATCTTATAACCGAGCAACTTAAAAGTTCACATAACGAGTAGTAATTAATTTTTAAAAGTAAAAACATTTCTCAAAAATTGCTAATAAAGTTTTAAATATTTACTCAATTCACAAAATAAGAAATTCATAATCATTGTTACTTTAAAAACTGACCTCTTAAACGTTAGTTTAAGTTAGTTATTGTTTTCTTATGAATATTAAAAAATAATAGCGCATAAAATTTAAACTAATAAATAAGGCGTTTCTCGCAAGAGGATTAAAATCTATCTTCTTAGTATATAAGGAAATTTTCTACCTTCGTGAAACATGTATATAATATAAGTGTGTTCTAGTGTGATAAGTTAGGTAGGGATATATGTTAAAAAAGTCAAAGCGAACCTGCGTGCGTGTGTAGTTGTGTATATAAACCATACCTGCATCCTCTACTACAATAGAGAACAATTAACAACGATGACCCAATCCTTCGACAGGTAGCAAATAATGAAAATTTTTTTTCTTTTATTTTAACGTAGTTTTCAATTTTTCGTATAGTTTTAGCAAACAAAATCCGCGCTTTTTAATTCCGCTTCCCTTTTTCATATAGTTTTAGTAAAAATAAGAAAACTTTCTCATGAATTTTAGAATAGTAATTTTAATTTCTGTTAAAACTGTTTCTACAAAGCTTTTGCTAAAAATATATTAATTTTTAATAAATAGCCTTAGTTTCCATGATTTGTTAAAGAATATACTAAATTTTTATATCATTTTTAACATTTATTGCAAAGGATTTTCTTTCCGTGTGAGTGTATTTAAAAGGCCCACTTCCCAATCTTATCTTGATCAGAAAAAGCAGGATCATTTTAAATATTTATCCTCCAAAGTTTTAAGATCCTTTCAAAAGACTAGAAAAAATATGTCTGCCATATGTTATTTCATACTAACCGCTTTAATTACCCGCCTGAGTCTATTTTTGAAACGCAACAACATTTTTCAAATAATCTCATTGTGGGTAACTATAGGCAATTAAAATTTTTTCCAAAGGAATTTTTGTTAAAATATTAATGCAAAATGTTTTTAACAACTGTTGTAATGTTTGAAACAACTCAAAATTACAGATAAACAGGAAATCTTTAATATTGAATAATTAACATGCACAGTTGAAAAAAAGGCTCATTTAAAAAATTCAATTTTTTAAATTTCAACTACATTTGTTAATTAAAAAGCAGTAAGTTATAGTATATTATTTATACTAATAGAATATAGTAATGAGTACATTAATTGGCTTTAAGAAACTTAAGGTCAGTTCCTGAAAGGTGTTTAAAAAACATTAATGTTTAATGAATTGAATAATTGGTAAATAAAAAAAAATTAAGAAAGTTTTGAAAAACCACCATAAAAAAATAGTTGTATTGTTGTGGAAAGGAAAGGCAAAATATAAGTATACGGACAAAATAAAAAGCTTAAAAAAGCCAAAATGAAAGCTTAGAATGTACTTTATTTTAAGAATTTTAAGAATATCTCTCTATGTTAAAAAAAGATTTCGCCTCTGTCTCCAGGATTGTACTAACCATGTCAAAAACATACACACTAAAGCGTCGATCGAGAACATGTCAGTTGACGACAGAGCTTACTGGTAAATGGTTGTAAACAGGTGAAACGGGCGGAAGGGAGTGTTATGTGTGACGTCAGTGTCGTATGAACGTATTTAATATTGAACGTATATTATGTACCCCTCTAGACAAAATAATTTTAAAAATTTAATTTTAATGGAAATCTAGGTCCGCATGAAAAGGGACCACTTTTTCAATTTTTTTAGGAGATAATCGCAATTATCTAAAAATGGTTCAGATGTTTGATTTCTTTTATTGTTGAAAATAAAACGATAAATTTTATAAAAATTTTATTTTTTGATTTTGGTTGAGATTTGAGACCAGTAGGCTGCACGGCGCAAAACTTTAAACGCCTGTAACGCCGCCATTTTGCAATATTTTTAATTAAAATATTATTATACATAGCTTATATTGTACACTTTAAGGTATGCTTTATTTCAATTCAATAAACTTTACTACTTTTTTGTAAGAAAATCTTGAAAAAACGTGCATTTACACGAGTTTCCCCCTTGAGGACTGCTCAAATTGTTCGAAATTTAATCAAGAATACACTCATGCAGATAAGTTCAATGAGACCAAAGTGGTCTCTTCATGCGGACGTACACACACCCAACTAGCACGTAAAATTACTGAAATATTACAGTAACATTATCCGGTAATATTACCATGAGGCGGACATTTCAGTATCACTGTAATATTACAGTAATGTTACCGGGTAATATTACTGTAATATTACGTGCTACTTGGGTATGAGCATTTAATAATGTTAACCTTTATGGGACTGAGGAAAAAAACACCTTCTATGGGCGGACGAGTTACCCGGGTGCCTACGTTTAATTTATTGAAGATTTTATATCAAAATGAGTAGTTCAATTAACTTTAAGTGTAGTGGACGTTTCAATGATAGTAATAATCACATAATATGAATACATATTAAAAAGAAGTCTTATTTTAAGGCCGAAAATAGGTCTTATTTTAAGAGGCAACATTTTTAAGGCAGCTTTGCTGAATTTGCGCAATGCAATTTCCATTATAACTACTAGCGCTGATTTTAGGACTCATCTTAAAATAAGATTTTCTTTTTGCTAATAAAAAATTATCATTATTAGTTGATTATTAAAAAACTGTCAAATCAAATATAAAAATGTAAGAAATTTATTTTTTATTATTTAAAATACATTTTTAATACCAATTAATTTTATTCAAACTTCATTTTTATGGTAATTTTTAAGTTAAAAACTGACGATTTCTTATGAATATTATTATTTAACTATAGTAACTAAATTACAACTAAATTATATTTTATATAAAAAATTATGTGCATTACTATAAAAATTGTTTAATGTAATTTTTTATAATTTTTTAATAGAAATTTCTACATTTATCTGCATGAAATGTATAGAGGTACCTTGTCCGCCTTTTGAGGGTGAAGAAACTTTATTTATTATTTGTGAATAAATAAATAAAAAATGTACATTATAAATAATATTAAAATACTTTGTATGGATAAATTTGAGATGTCAAAAAACCTTAGGTCGATACGATTTTAAAAATTATGAAAAAAATCAATTTGAAAATGCAAAAGGTACCCGGGTACCTCGTCAGTCCTATAAAGGTTAATAACGTTAAGAAATTGTTTAAAATAATTTATCGAAGCTTTAATAAATAATACATTGTAATTTTTGCAGTTTTTTCTATTATTTATTTCGTTTAGGTTAACATAACCTCAACTGTCAACATTTATTACATTGATTTTTTTTGTTGCTTTCCATATATTATATTTATTTTAAAAACGTAAAATCCGGTAATATATACTGCAGTAATTTGTTTACGTATATTTTAATTTTGAGATTGGGCGAATAATGTGCAGTCCCGAGATTCAAAGCAATGCAATTCTTATCAAAGTTTCGCAAAATTATTTTAAACAAGTTCTTAACGTTATTAAAATTATTAAATGCTCATAAACAACAAAAGGAATAAAAATAACTGAAAATACATATGTCATGATAATCACAAAGTGTCGCCATCGGGAGACAAGAACTGAAACATTTTTCTCTCCGAGTGACGTGACTAAATGCATTGCACATATTACGGGGTGCTGACAACAACTTATAATCAGTATTGCTCGAGGTGTTGCCAATGTCCACGTTTCATAAACTTAAACTTTTGCCTGTTAAATACAAGCAATTACACAGAAAAAACCTGGTCTCGAAGTGCAACAAAAATGTGTCAGGTTGGTGGCGCCACTGTCTATGTCGTTTAGAATTGGCTCATTTTGAGTTGCATCAAAAATGAGACTAGGTTTTTTCTGTGTATAAGAAATTATTTATTTAAATAAAAATTGTTTATGGAATTTTAAAAAATTTGAAATTGTCGAATATTATAGTTAAAAACATAAGTAATAAGGAAAAATAAACTTACCAATGAATCCACCTCCGGATCTGCTATGTAGTAAGGCTTTTCTTGTCTAATCTGTAATAGAAGAAGAAAAATTATTATAAATGTCATAAGAAATATATATCTGACGCTACACGGCAAAAAGCACGTTAGCTCTCAAAACAGAATTTTACAGGAAAGGCGTTTAAAGTCGAGTGTTCTGATTGGCTGAGACGCGCCAGAGAAAATCAGCCCCACTACCTTACTACTACATCGTTCCTACAGCTCACGGATACGACAAGTATACCAGTAGTAGTGGTGGTGGGGATGGTTTCCGTAGTCCGTGGTAGAACGCGATTGACATGGTCATGTTTAAAGCTTTATTACAAAAAAACTAATAAAAAAAAATACAATTTTTGACATTTGTATATGAAAGAGCAACTTAAATACTACCGATTCGCACATAAAACTGAAAATTAATTTTTTGGGAGCTAAGGTGCTTTTTGTCGTGTAGCGTCACATATATTTGATCATTTTAATACAAATACTGATATTAGTATTACGGTGATCCGATTATAATATTAATAAAAATTAAATCTGTTTTATTATTAGGTATGATAAAAATAATTTATTACATGAAAAATATAATTAAATATTTTAAGTAACGCAAGCATAATTACGCGTCTTTGACGCCTGTTTTTAATACGTAAAGTGAGCCTTTCTAATTGATGCGTGAGTGCGCATGTGCAGAAATATAAAACTGTTCTTCACCTTCAAAATAGTTCCTACATCGTCTGCTCTCTCCTGTTTGAGACATTTTTACTAGAAATACAAATAATTTCCTTTTTTTCCCTCAGATAAAACGGTAATGTTAGTAGAAACATACCCATACGGACATTTTTTCAAACATTATTTTTGAATTTCTGTGGCTGTATTCTTGAATTTTTTTTACGATTTGCTGCACAAATAACAGAATATTTGTGCAAAAATCGTTCTTAAATATCATAACTGGAAAAAAATATCCTCAAAATATGGTCAAAAATCGCATTTGAATTTTTACGTGCAAAACAAGTAATAAAAAATTTTAATTAATAAAATAAAAAAAGTTTAAATGTTGAGTACCTACTTTATAATTTATATTGCTCATTATAATTAATAAATTTAATTAGAAAGATTAAATTCATACATTTAATTATTTAATTGAAATTAATTAATTATGTAATTAATTACTTTCTTAATTTAATATATAATAACTATGTTTTTCTAATATCAATAATAATATCAATTACGTTAAAATGCTTTAAAATTAAAATTATTGACAATCAATTATTTGATTCGTTATTCAATATAATTGAATTTCATTAAATTGTTTGATTCTCCCGCCACTTATGAAAAACGGGAATGAACAATACGGCGCTTTCGGTCTTGTAATCGAAGTACGGTGGACGACAGAATCGCCCATCCTGTTATATATAGAGATCAGTGGAATGGAAGTTCTTCTCTTGCGCACCACTATACTATCGATGAGAGTGTATAGTAATGAAGGTGTCTTCGATTATATCATACTGTCAATTCCTCTTCGCAGAATGTATAGAGAGGGACTAGTTTCTTGCTATGAATGTTCTTTAACCGATCGCTTCACGTTTTTCGACGAGCCCCAAGCGACCGCCATAGCGCCGCACAGGTAGGCTTAGATTACAAATTGTAAACAGTTCTCCCGCTATTTATACATGTACTGCCAATCTTTCCTAGCACACCACCTCACTGATAAAACGTTCTCGAAAAACATGATATAATACCAGTCTCTAATCCTTGTACGATGAATATTAGGATGGTCCAAAAATTATGAAAAGAAAATTTTAGAATTATGTACCGCGTGGGAAGATTGATAGATTAACATTGACTGAAAACTTGCAATATTTTTAATACCAACGTAGTTGCGAAAGCTAACGAACCGGTGCTAGTGTTCCTTTCCCATGATTAAAAATATTTTTTTAGAAACATCTTAACAAATGTTTAACATAATTGAGAGGTCAATTATAATGATTTTAAATAAAGAAAAATGTTTCGAAATTTCATTTTTGAAATCCGACATACTTTATGAATCATGTGTAAATTAAGTGTCCTAGTTCCTGTCCACCTTAAGATTGGTTTCATAGTTTGGCCACGCATTTATAATTACGAATTCCGTCCTTTTTCCTGAATCCTATTTAACGACAGACGATCTCCAGATAACTATTTTTTTCGTAAATACAAATCCCGACAATTAAATAGTGAAATTAAACTGTTTTATTAATCAATGTAAACTGTAATATCAAAATTTAATACATAAATAGTAGGTATAATTAGTAAACGAAGATAGACAATATAATGTTCTGTAGTATAACGATCACAGCTCTTGCATTGAATCTATTTTATGTCTGACCAGCGACTGGGACATTCACCTTAAAATGTTTTCAAAAAAAACTTTGAATTTGTTCCAAAAGTCAGTTTTGGAAAATTATATAAATAATTTTTTTTAGTGTAGATGCCCCTGCAAGATACACGAATTGAAATGCTTCAAGTCTTAAAAATAATCCATGTCTTTGAAAATAGAAGTTTCCTGGTTTTAAGTTCATAAGAAATTTAGAATCTTCGATTTAGCTTCTCTCTTATAAATTATACATATTGTTGTAAATAAATTCTGTGTCTGAATATCGTCTCGTCACGCTTTTCGTCCTGAAGAAGTAACATTTTAGTTATTATTTATTTCGAGTGAGATAAATATTTTTAACCATTCCCACAATAGGTTTTATACATTGGTTTAAAAATGAAAGGACACTTTTTCTTCTAAGAAAAGTCAATCAGGAGATAAATAGGTGCTAGAGGAATGCTGTAAAAATAGTCGTCAGAAAATGCTATAAACTTTGAATATGCCGACTTTCCCTAAACATCAGGTTTGTAAAGATCAAGATATTGATACAGCCTTGACTTTTTCTTTTAGAAACTACCTGCGAAACTGCCCCCTCAAATTGTCTAAGAATCAAAGATGGCAAGATAAGAAAATTTGTCCTTTGGAATATCTATTTACTTTTAAAATTCAAAGTTGCTTTTAAAATAGATTTAGGGTTAGATGTCATAAATTATTCACCCACACAATTCCAAACTATTCGTTAAATAATATTTTATGCTTTATACACGGAGAGAAAAATCAGCCTTTTAGAGTATACAAAAGTTTACCTTTAAGACACAAAACTTTTATATGCTACATATGCGTAACATTTGAGTAATTTTGGTATAAACTTATGTCTTTTTACTATGAAACTTGTCTATGCTGATAAAGTTTGTCATGTAGCCCCTTATAGTATACTTATTATACCGTAAATGCAGGCGCGCCAAGCGAAGATCGCACCTAGCTCATCATACTCCGATTGCAGAAGTTCTATGCTTTTTCGGTATTAGACTCTTGCAACAGACCTTTTCATGCTGATCGTTCTGTCCTTATCTAGCGCATATTATGACGCATGAGTTGGAAGAGGACAGAATGACCAGCATGAAAAGGTCTACTGGCGAGTAGGTAGGCGCGGCCTAATCGTCAATTGCAAGAGTCTAATACCGAAAAAGCATAGAACTTCTGCAATAGTAGTAGGATGAGCTAGGTGCGATCTCCGCTTGGCGTTGTTGCTATTAAATCATATTTTTCTTACTATAAAAGCATATATACTATGTATCTTTAGTACGGATAAATATTATACTAAAAATTCTCAAATATTTGCTCCATTAGTAAGAAAAGTTCATACAAAAGTAGCAGAATAGTCTTTCATACACGGAAAAAATGAATTCAGTAGATTTTACAGAACTATCACGGAGTAGCGGATACAGCTCTTTACGAAACTGAGTGTTGTAAAATGTCACGAAATATTCAGGATAAACTCCAGAAATATTCAGCATAAACAACGAAAGTTCTGTAGTTTATCCGAAAATATCCATCACATTTTACAAAACTCAGTTTCGTAAAGAGCTGTATCCGCTACTCCGTCACAGTTTTGTAAAATATACTGAATTAATTTTTTCCGTGTACTATAAAGCCTTGATTTTTCCCTCCGTGTAATTGTAAGAATTAGATTACTTTGAATATAGAATTACGGTAAAGTAGAAAAAAATTTACTTTTTTTTAACTCTCAGACTGCGTATTTTTGTGTTTAAATTCGATTCTTTGCACAGAAAAAACCTGAACTCAAAATGATAGCGTATGCTACTCATTTTGATATGCAGCAAAAATGAGTCAGGTTGGTGGCGCCACTGTCTATGTCGTTTAGCATTGACTCATTTTTGCTGCATATCAAAATGAGACTAAGTTTTTTCTGTGTGGCCCAACTTCTCAATTTACTTTTTATTAAGGCGGGAAACTCGTGTAAATGCACTTTTTTAAATATTTTTTACAAAAAAGTAGTAAGGTTTATTGAATTGAAATAAAGCATACCTTAATGTGTACAATATTAGCTATGTATAATAATTTTCTTAATTAAAAATATTACGTCTCCAATCTCAACCAAAATCAAAAATCAAAATTTTTATAAAATACACAAATACGCTTTGTATGACGAAGAGAAAATTAAAAAAAAAAATTTATTTTGAAATTTGGGACAATTTAAAAAAAAATCAATTTATTTTTTTATAAACAAACTACAAAAAAAAGTTTCATGAAAATCGGTTAAAAATTGGCTGAGCTTCATAGCACGGCGCGTGCCTTGAAGACGTTATGTGTTCGAAAATAACTATTGCATTAAAACCAAATTTTACTATTACTTGCTTATGGTGCTTGCTAATGACAATTAATTTAATTATATTGACATGAAAACGAAAGAACAGAGCTATCTCGTGCGCATCGTCAACTACATTTGGTAGCATTTGAAGTTCTACACTTATGAATACTATAGATATTTATACTTCGAATTATCGATTAATAATGTAGGATAATATTCTACAGATAGTAAACTAAATTTAAAGCAAGAAAAAAAAATTTTTACAATTTTTTTTACACGAGTTTCCCCCATTAATAAAAATAAAAACTATTCTTCTCCCTTGACTCTGTCATTGTAAAAAAGTTTGATGCT